AGATGTGATAGGCAACAATAAACTACAGAACTCAAAACTGATTGTTGCATTTAAGTATTGCATTAATATTTAAGCTTATCTTTCAATGATAATTCTTCAGCTGCCACTTAAAGAGAATTTGATATACATATATCCTTACGTTCCATACAAACAATTATTTTTATTTAATGGGTGACTTTCGGCTGGATTTTGCAATTAATTTTGATTATTCCCAAATTTATTTCAAAGTTATAAAAATTGTTATCATACAAAAAAAAAAATTGTCACAAAAAAAATCACGTACAAAAATTGCCAAAAACAATCACACTAATGAAAACTTGGGAATCTAAAATTTCAAGATTGGTGGTCTGGATCTGTCCTGGAATGTTTTTAATTTGCTCATGGAGTTGGCCTGATTCCAAAACGTTATATGTTGGGCTACAACCTCTAGGAGTAAAGTTGAAAAAGTGTGACGCAGTAACACTTTATTTGTATTTATTATATAGAAGATAAGCTATAGAAAGTTAGAGTTGTGTCCCTTTAATTAAAAAAGTGTGACACACTGACATTTGCAATTATTATATAGATACACTCAATCTAGGAATATTTATATATCTGTAGAAGAGACAAGAGGAAAATCTATACTGAGTTGATGTGTTTTGTCCTCTGAGGGTCTTTATCAAGGCAATGATAATAGGAAAAAAAAATCTTAGTTTTTTGTCAACATATTTCATCTTCCGAAACTCTGTCCGAATTTTGAATAAAGAAACACTCAATCAACAATGTATTTTCCCTGATTATCTATGACTTCCTTCCATCTATTAACAACCTTACTAATTCCATTACTGTAAAATTCTTTTGGCTTTGATTCAAAAACTCACAAATGTCAGTTTAACCTCTTCCTGTGTTACAAAAAGCTGTTTCTTCCAAATGATTCTGAAGCTACAAAACAAATGGTAGTCTGAAGGAGCAAGATCAGGAGAATAAGGTGGATGAGAATTTTCTCCCCAACCAAGTTCTTCGATCTTTTGTGACGTGATTCTTGCTGTGTGTGGTCGCACATTGTCCTGATGAAACATCACCTCTTTTCGATTCACTAGAGCAGGTCTTTTTTTTTTTCCTCAAAGCTTGGTTCAAACGCTCTAATTGCTGACAGTATATTTGAGCATTACTTGTTGCATTAGGTGGCAAGAATTCAAAGTGGATTATTCCTTGGCGATCACATCAGATTGAAAGAAGAACCTTTTGCCCATGAAGTTCCTTCTTGGCTGTGGCTGGGGTCCTTCCCTTTACCAAGCCCTGTCTCGACACTTAACATTTCGATAAAAGATCCATTTTTCGTTGCCAATCACAAGTCTATCCAAAAAAAATGAAACAAGTTGGCGAGAATGGAGAGAAGAGCAGATGTTAACTCGGGATTTGAGGTTGTTTTCAGACAATTCATGAGGCACCCATTTTCCAAGTTTAGGAACTTTCCAAGTTATTGAAAATGACGTTGAACAGTTGTATGGTTTAAACTGACAACCACTGCCAATTCCTCAACTGATAAAGCAGGATTTTCTTCAAGGGCTGCTTCAAGAAGCTTTTCATCACACTCAACTGGACGTCCGGTTCGATCTTCATCTTCAAGGGTGAAATCTCCACCTCTGAATTTTGCAAACCATCTTCTGCAAGTTCTTTCATTCACACATTCCTCTCCATAAACTGAGTGAATGTTTCTAGTTGCTTCGGCTGCTGAGTTTCCTTTCTTGAACTCATAAAGCATTATGTGCCTCAAATGACTCTTGGGTACTTCCATGTTAGCAGGGTTTTAATCAAACAAAATTTAATTTTATTGTTCTCTGAAATAAAATTTGATCAGTTTAAATGCATCTAAACATAAAAATAATGTTCAGCTCCATTAGACATTATAAAATACTCTTTAAATTTCGTTCATTTTAACAAAAAGCTAAAATTCGGACAGAACTTATGGGATGACCTGATTATTTATATATATATATATATATATATATTGTGTGTTTTGGGTAGCAATCCTTCTTTTATGCAAGTTTCATTAAAAAATGACTGACAAGGTGCTGTGGTTAAGTTTTTTTTATATAATTTTTCATGTTTGTTTTTTTTTTTTTTTTTTCTGGACATAAATTATATAAAAATTGTCCAAATGTTTTATATGTCCAAGCCTTTTCAGCTATACTTTTATTAAGTCTTATTTAAATACACATGGAGACTTACCATACTCGTTAATAATACAAGTATTATAGCCTCATGTTAAAAAAAAAAAAAAAAAAAAAAAAAAAAGGCAGATGCTAATAAACAATGGGAGCATTATTGATAAAAAAAAAGAAAAGCCAACAGTCAATAATATCAACTATGAACATGGCCACAATGTGCTGACTGTGTTTGGAAGATAAAACATTCCCATAACAGTAGATACATACATAAAACAATCCATACATTCATTTAAAGTAAAAATGAAATTCATCCTTGATAATGGCTAAAACTCTGTGTGTGTGTGTGTATATATATATATATATATATATATATAAATAATTGTTTGCTCAGTATTATCTTTTTTCTTTATTGGAAACTTTGTCAATTGTTTCTGTTGAGCATTTTTGCCAATTACCCTACACATGGTATTAGTTAAAGTTGTAAGAGGTCTACAAATGGAAAGATTAAAAATTAACATGGTCTTCCATTTCACTAAAGCAGACATTAAACACATGAAAATGTTATCTCCTCCTTTATCATCATTTTCTTTCTTTCCCTAAAACAAAATGGCACCTTAAATATATATTTTCTTCTGTCTATCCTTGCAATAAAATGGATCATTCATTGTGTATCTGAGTATGTAACATATGTACTAACAAGGACTATAATATGATACATGTAACACTGTACTTTGTAGCATATGATGTGTAGATACATGTTACCTATGATGAAAAAAAATTTATTTTATGCCACAAATACTTTCTTTTCAACATAATTTCCTTCATTGTCAATGCACTTAATTCAGTTGGAATCTTAATCACATAGATTGAACATTATACAGTGGACATTATACAGTGGACATTTCACATCAAAACTGAGTGTAAGCCCTTGTTTAAAAATCTAGGCAACTTCAGAATTTTTAATAATGATACATGACCAGTGCCATCCCAGCATGCTTCTTTTATACCACAAAGTCTGTTATATCATTTTGCTTATTTGCTGCTTCATTATACAAGCAGATAAAGCAGGTTAAGTAATACATGATTTTGAACATCATATTTTTATTGAGTTTCTTTCAATGATTTTTTTTTTCCTCCAGATAACTCTGACCAAAATAGCACATCTGTTTTGGCAACACTTGCAGTTCTTGCTGAAGCCACTGCACCATTTAATGCTCAAAGTAAGTATTTAATCATTTTTTTTTCTTTTTGTTCTCATTCTCTCTTGCATTAAAGTTTTTTTTATATTTTGACAAGTATTTTTTTTTGTTTTTTTTATATTATCCTTTCAAATTCCATAGAAACTTCTCTCTTTAGAACAGCTCACAAAATCTACATTTTATTGGTTCATATCTTTCTCTTTTTATTTTTGAAATCTTTTTCATTCAATCAAGAAACTGAAAACTATAAGGTCTCCACTCCAATATGTGAGCCGAGACTTGAAATGTATTATCAACTGAATATCAGTGAAGACATTTGCTTATATGTAACCTCATGCATGGTGTCATCATAATGCACAAATATTGTAAGACCAAGTTTTAAAATAACATCCTAAATTTTTTTCCCTGGTATTGATAATGACCAAAAGTATGGTTGAAAGCAAACATTTTGACTATATTTAAATTATTGCATCTAGATATGTGTCCTCAAAAAATCCACTATAAATGTTGTGTAGGAACCTACCACCCCTCTTGAAGATGAACTCGTCTACAAACAAGGACGTTAAATAGTGGCATGTCAAAAGACAGTGTCGGAGAAGTTCTGGGCTGAGTTAGTTATAGACTACTCAGGCGATAATCTGTACCAACTTACCAACCGAATAAACCCCTTTTTATTGTTACATGTTATTTGGCATTTGTCTTTATTAACCCCAAATTAACATCATAACAATAAACATTTATTGTATTAATTGTTACCTAAATTATATTTCTGTCATATATACCCTATATGAATTCACAAAACAATGGGGGAAGGAGGTCAGAACCCTGTTTTGCTGAAACTGAGCCCTCAACAGAAGACTAAATTTGTCCCCTTGGCCTAAATCTATGACTGCTATATTATCATTTGTATTTGTATCATTTGTTGAAAATCCTTACTGTCAGTAATTTCCAAATAAATCATAAAATTTAATTTCCTTTTTGTTCTTTTGGTTTCTTTTTAAACTTGAAACATTGGCTTATAGAACTTTTAAATAAGTCTTATATGCAGAAAAAATGTCTATCGGTCTCATCCCAGGAAATAAATATATTTAAAAACAAAACAAAGCTTACAGTAGGATAATATATCTAAAGAAAATGTTAATTTTTTGAGAGCATCAAACTAAAAATCTAGAATCGAGGAATCTTTAAAATTTAATATTGAATTTAGTCCCACCACACTTTTTATTTTGTGGCACCCTGCTTGATATATGTAAATGCATTCCTTTCTTTACAGAGAAACAAACTTGAAATTTTGAAAAATGCTAGGCTTTGTTGTGTGAAAGCTATTGGAATGTATTTTGATTTGCTTACCTTTTTTCTTTTTTTTTTTTTTTTTTTTTTTTTCCAACCCCCCAGATCCCAGTACAGCAGAAGCAGTGAGTTGGCTGGAGAGTCATGGTATTACTATGATTTCGACCAATGATGCTGGTATCATAACCTCTGCAGTGGAAAGTGGCCAAAGCATTGCTCTTACAGGTAAAGGCAACTTAATTTTATTGTCTCTCTTTCTTTGAAATACATATACTTTCTACTGACGAAAACCAAATTTGATATAAAAACAGATTTAGCTTTTGATATAGGTGTTTTAACCATTTTATATTCTATTAATAACTTGCTCACTATGCTAATTCCTTTTTATCTGTTTCATTTATATATTTATAAACATATATTTCATATATGTTTATACATATGTTAAGTTTGTTCAAGAGCTTGGAGCACTAAGTTTTCTTTTAAATGTTTTTATATAGATCTCAAATCAAACTTAGCTTTATATTAAACTCTTAAATAACCCCAAGAAAATAAATTATCTTGCAAAATGGTTTATTACTATTTAGAAACAGATTTTTAAAAAGTGAAGAATAAATAAACTGTTAAACTTGAAATTTGCTGACATCTTAACTGTTTTTTAAACACTAACATTTAAATAATATTGGTTGGTTATTGAGACAAAATCTTGTAATTTATATTGGTATGAGTTTGTATTTTGGCTATAATAGAGCTGATTTTTTTTTATGCTAAAGTTCACCCAATACAAGGTACAAGAGTCACTCAAGATAAAGGCTTACTAAATGAGGTGTATAATATGAATGTAAGTAGGTACAAAGAAGAGATTACAGATAACAATTGACCGTTGACTTGAAGTTAAGATTATAACATTCAGATGGTAGTTTGTGCCATAAAGTAGAAGTTAGCAGGAAAAGGTGGAACTTCATCCTTACAAATGATATACTGCAATGAATATAAATTTTACTTTTTGGAACAATATTGATAGTGACTGAACAGTGAAATTTGGGTTTTAAAAACTTTCCAGATTTAGATTTTACTTTAAGGCCAAGAAAATGGTTAGCCAAAACATAAACCAATGTTAGATATGTGAAAAATATCAAAAGCCAAAATTTATCCATGAAAAAATATCTGCATATGATGAAGCAAAAATCTTTGTATCTGCACACACACACACACACACACAATCAGTGCAAATTGAAACAAGGATTCTTATTCACAAATCCATAATTAAAGATACAGTGTCACTTAAAATAAAAATCATAATTCATGTTAAAATTACTTTAATGACACAAAAGAAAACTTTTGATATATACCATATATACTCAAGTATTGTGCAGGTTGATCAGTTTTTTTATGCAAAAAATGGGGTTGTGCTGTACAAGGGTAGTTTTTTTTTTTTTTTTTTTTGAAGAGGTTAAAAATCATGCATTTTCAGCTGCATTATACACAGATTTATTCTTTCTGGAGGGATTAAAATTCATGCTAAAAATAGAGTTGCACTATACATGTGTATATACAGTATTTAGACTCATTTTAAAGAATAATATTAGAACTTTAGGAAGACTGATAAATTATTGTAAGTTTTTTGCCTGTTTTGAAAACAGCTTAATTTTCAAAATCAAGACTTGCAGGGTTTGATGGATAAATTGTTGTCTAAATTACGCAAAAATAAAAATTTCATAAAAATATCTTGAATTATAAAGAGTGAATTTATTCAATAAAATTGCCATTGGATTCAACCACTGCTTCCAGATGACTTCAGCATCTCCTGCAACTCTTCTGGACAGTCTCCTTGTTTAAGTTGCTAAATGCTGCCATAATCCTTGCCTTCAGTTCATCTTTGATGTTATGAGGAGTTTTATTGGTCTTTTGCTCAACCACATCCCAGACATAATAATCAACGGCATTACAGTTTGGGGAGTTAAGCAGTCAGGTGTAAGGGGTGATGTGGCCGCAGAAATTTTCTGACAACCATGACTAGGGTCTCCTGTTTGTGTGGCATGGGGCAGAGCCCTGCTGCCAGACATAGGGTCTTCCAACAACCACCCTGTTGACCCATGGCAGCACTACCACCTCAAGGTACTTGATGTAGGCCTTCGTGTTGAGTCTGAGGCCTTGTGGGAAGATTAATGGAAGCATAACGTTACCATCACTAGTGACTGCTCCAAACACCATGATGTTGATTGGATATATCATCCAACTCATTCTGAATCCTCTACACTGTCCTTAGATTGACACCCAAATACTCTGAAATGTTTGTATTGGAACTTCTGGTGTGAATGCCAATCAGTACAACATGCTGTCATGTTAATCCTTTTCTCATAGACGGTTTCCAAATGACCTTACTATATAAAAAACAAAACAACGCACATGCACAAAATTAAAAGTATAAAATGGCCATTGCACCACTTATGTAATTGGCTAACACTATAGACAAATATACATAATCATTTGGTTAAACAATTTTGTAAACTTAAATGTGAAATTATGATTTTTACAGAAGCTGGGAAAATGGCACTAAATATAATCAAACAGCAAGGTTTGACTCGAACTACAGATGATGAAGCAGCTGAATCTGTAGTGGGAGGCACAATTGAAACAGTTGTTGGAGACACTGATCAGGTAAGTACAACCTTCTTGTATTAAAATGTTTCTCTAATATACAAAATGTAAAATAACTTCTGGTTATTAACAAAGGTCAGGGTTAAATATAGTGCAGGAACACATTTTTGGATCAAAATCATGTTAAATATTGATACAATTTACATTCAAAAAAAATTTGCAGCTGAAGTTGTCCCATTTGAAAATAAACAAATTGTTTCTATCAAAATTGTCTCTGATGCAAGAACACATTTCCTCTTATTCCGTTTTCTTTTTGCCTCAAGAACATGAAATTTCTTAGAATTTTTTGACACTTCATAGTTCTCTATTCATAGGATGGAAGATCAACTGTAAGGATTTCTTTCCTAGAAGAGTATATACTGAATACTAGAAGATTGTATAGCTCAGATGTCTCAAATTCAAGGACACAAAAAAGCCATTACATGCTGAGGGAGAGATGCAGCAAACCCGTTGCAAGGCTATTTACATTACCAATATGAAGAACATCAATTTCCCAATGGCTGTGGACCCTATGAGCATGTTCTCAACTATGGTATTCATGGGGACTCCCTTAGTGACAGCTTCCTAATATGGGTTCTATGGACCCACAAAGCTAAATTAAATCAGTTTGGTATTTTTGAGCAATAGGAATTGTGAAAGAGAAAGAGAGATTGAAGGGGAGAGAGAGGGGCAAGATTTCACACGTAATCCAGCCATTTATTAAGTACATCTATTTTCTTTTTTTTTTTTTCTTTTTTTTAAAGCTATATGAAATTTTTAAAAATCATTGGTTATCAAAATACAGGGCAAAAATGTGTCTAGCATCAGTTAATGCAGGATGTCCTTCAGCATCAAAATCGATCTCTTCCCCAAAAAGAAATTCAAACTTAAATTGGTTGACTATCTGTTGGTAATTGATGGTTAGGTCTTGCTTAATGCAGCCAGCTACTGCAAAAGTATGAAAGGGGCAAGGGACAAATTTATTAAACTTATTAAATTTTGAGGAATATATTCGTCACAAAAATAGTTCCCCACAAGCTAAAGAAAGATTTTGAAGCTTCCTGGTATTGTTGGTTACAAAAAAATTACTTTAATATTAACATGCTATACTGTTAAAATATTTATAGCATTTCTTGGTAGGCAGAAACTGGAATTTGGAAATAGATGAAAATATCTGAGATTTTTAGCAAAATTCTTGATGCTTTTGTTTTGTTTTTTGTTGTCTTATCTAACTTTGCTAAGTATAACTTAATAGTGTGTTGTTTTTTTTCTGTTAACAGAAAGTAATTACAATTGTAACCACTGATCAAACAGAGGTAGGCAATGGAGAAGAACCAGTTTTAGTCACAGTAAATGCTGATGGCTCAACGGATGGGACATTGACAGTTGAAGCTACAGGTAACTTATTTTATTTATAACCTTTTCTAACTTTGTCATTGACCCAAGAAAATTGCATATATAAACATTCACAAACACTTATATATCCATTAATTATTAAAAGAATGATCAAAATACATAGGACTTGCAATAAAACCATTATATTATGCTTTTTTAAATACTATTAACTAATGTTTTACACTAATAATAATCGTTATGATAAAATATCCTATTATAATGGTACTGGTTCCTCCCTTCATTAGTTCACACAACCGTTATGTCCTGCCAAAAGTCAGCTTAGGCTGATAAGAACAGATACTACACTTTGATCTTGGTCAAAAGGCCTAGAAGTGTTTATTTTTCATTTCACCAACGTCACTATTGAATGTGATATGGTTGAGGTTTAATGTGGGTTTAATGGCAATACAGTGGAGAAATTGCCTAAGCCCCCCCTCAGCACTTCCCTTCTTGGGGACACTTCAGGTGCCAGTAATAAATCCAGCTGAAAATTATTTGAAACTTCTAGCAAAAAGACTGAGAAGCAATGGTAACCAATAAAAGCACCAGCTTTCAGATGCACAGTATTGAACAACGGAAACCGAGTAAGGCAATCACTAAAAATCCAGTTACCATAAATAAAATAACATTGTTTGCTGAATTATTTTTTAATTATTATTAAGAGAAATGTTCATAAGATGGGGATTTGGCTAGAAAGAAAGAAGGGAAGATAGAAGTGTTTAACATTTGCCAATACCTCATAAATAATGGACTGTTCCATCTTGATTACCTGGAAAAAGTGGAAAAGGAACTACTTGGTTTCAGTGAGAAAATGAATGAAAAAAGGAAGATAGTGTTTAATGGCTGTTTCAGTGAAAGTGAAAAAGTTGTAAATTTCAAGTCTTTTCATTTGTACCCACTTCTTAAAATAACAACCAGTATTCATATTTATGATTGTTATTACAATATTGTTAAAGTTTTTTTAAGTTCAAATATTTGATGATGTGATAAGAGATTTCCATCGATATTTTATTGTCATAGAAATCACTATGAGCTTATTCAATCTTTTAACTGAAGAATAAAGATTCATCAGAAAATAAAAATAGAAAAACTGTGAAATTTTCATTGGTCTTTCTAGTTTTGATAATTTATTCATATAAAAGTTAAGAAACCCTATCTCCCCATTCTGATGTTGGTCATTTGGTAAAATTTTGGGCCAGGTACTTTTCAGCAGACCCCTCATGTTAAATACATATACTGTTAAATCAAACATTGTGACACAATAATTGGGATACCCACATAGAAGGGGATAGTGTGTGATTTAATCTCAATCTCAAGTGTTTTGTGTTCAGCAATAAAGTCTGGGAGATATGATCTTTGAAGCAGTTAACCATTTAACTGAAAGAGAATAAAAAAAATAAATAAATGAAAACTTTTGGAGGTCAAGTGACAACAAACTAATCATTGAGGATTTTTGGTTGCTGGTCAATATAGACACAATGGTCACAATTGGGATTGAGTAGAGTTCTGGATTGCCCAATAATGAGGACAAACTGTACCAGAGATAATTCTGATACTGCCTATTCAAGTTTCCAGCTGTGTGTCATGATGTTGGGATGGGTAGTGTTGGTAGGAGGGAGCGTCAAACGGAAGAGCTGATCTGTTCATCTGACATGACAGAAGTTGTCTCAAGTGTCACCTATCTACCCACACAGATCGAGCAAGTAAAGCTGGTTAAACACTTAAATGTATTGGAAGTGGAGGTTCATGTTCTCGTTCCTTGTCAGCTTGCAGTAAGCCTTTCCTGCCGGTTTTTGGTGCACACTGACATAAATAAGAATGGAGGCAATGTGAGATAGTCATTGGCCAGTCAGTGGAAAACTAGATGAGGGTCCTGTTGTATGATTACAACATTACAGTAGTTATTTTCTTGCTTGTAATAGTTTTAAATGCAAACAACTTCTTTAACAGAGTTGAAGAATCATTTTTGTTTTTGTTACAGTTAATGAATCTCATTTACCCAACAATTTGATTTAAATCTGAGATTTATGAACTGTTAATCAAATTTTTGTTTTCAGACTTTTTTTTTTTTTTTTTTTAATAAACCTATTTCTAAATTTCAAAGTCCTGGGTATGACAATAAACTACATCTGGCAGCAAAGCCTCTAATCAGAAGATTGAAGGTTTTGAAGAGTGTGGAACCACCTCTTAATTGCTGTTGTTCTTAGGCTCACTCTGACCTAGGTTGGTAGTACCTGTTAAGGTCCCAGCTATGGGCGAATAGTGAACCCCCCCAAACAAAAATTAAAATACTAGGAAAGTATAAAAATACATTTTTATAGTAAAAATACCAGCAATACATTTTTAAATTAAAAAAAAAAAAAAAGTGACCAACAATACATTTATCTGTAGTTGAAGGCATACAATTGCATTCAAAATATTTGATTGAAGCCAAACAATTGTCTGAAATATTTAGATTTCAGCATTAAATAACCCATAGAGATTGACATGCCGCTAAACAAAATCCAACAAAAACCAAACCTACTTCTAAATTTCAAGCATCAGTTTTCAATTTAACATTTGTCTATTACAGAGGAGCCACCAACAAAGAAATGCCGTATAGAAGAAGCTGAAGTTGAAGAAGCCAGTGCTGTGCCAATTACCCAGTTATTGGAAGTAAGTTCTTTAAAAAAAAATGAAATTAAAAGGCTTTTCTTAGTTAATTTCTATTTGACTTTGTCAAAAAAAATAAGTTAATATAAGTATGGCCTTTGTTATTTTTTTAACATTAAATATTCTTTGTTAATATTTACTAACTTCCAAGATACATCCCAATTGAAAAAAAAAAAACATCTGAGAGAAAGATTTTAATATTCGTATGCCACCAAAAATGACATCTTGCTTATAGAAAAGGTTTTACTTGATAATAATCACACAAACTCAGCATTAATTTTAGTAGTACAAAAACACATGATTTGTCATTATTTCTCATCCTGTTTATTTTTGATGTGCAAGTAGTTTAGCGGTTATCGGGATGGAAAATGGAATTGGTGAGCTGAGTTCAAACTCTAGGCTGGTTTGTTGTATTCACTTTCACACTATGCCTTTGGCTAAGGAATGAATCTGTTTTTTCTCCTTCGGTTATAGATTACCATATTTTCCAGATTACAAGACGCACTTTTTTCCTTTAAAAAAAAAAAAAAAAATTACCCTGAAAAATATGTGCCCGTCTTCTAAGACCAATGTAAGGCAACGCCCAGACTCAAGTAAGCTTGGATGGTTACCTAATTGGCTTGACTGATATGAACATGGATTTATATGTTGAGTCATTACACTATAATGTTAGCTATCTATCTGATTCAGCCTTTTATATGATGTAACTTTAGTTACAAGTATTTCTAAGACTATGAACCTTCCTGGGGCTGAGCCACAAGCTTAAACATGCTTTGTTTACTAGCAGCGACAGGAGCCTTTCTGCTCTTGATCTTGGTGTATGTTTGCTCACACTCTTGTGTCATGAAAATGTCAGTTACCACCAGGCTGTCACACGTATCACAAGTTTTTTTCGTCCTGGAAATTTTTACCTATGTCAAGTTCATCAAAACAATTTACTTATACTGTTTTCAGTTCATGAAGCAAAACAAGTTATGCTTACAAACAAAAACTAAAATATCTCAAAAAATGCCAGGTGACTATGAACAGAAAATATTGACTTTCCATCAATTTATCATTAATGCTAGAAAGAAGAACTTGTTTGAACTTAACCAGATCAGGAATATGGATGAAGTTCCTTTAACATTTGACATACCTTCTAATAAAAGCATAGAATTGAAAGGTACCAAAACAGTGACTATTAAAACCACCGGTCATGAAACAACTCACTACACTGCAGTTTTAGCCTGTTGTACTGATGGCACCAAACTACCACCATTGTTGATTTTCAAAAGGAAAACATTGCCCAAGGAAAAATTGCCAGATGGAATTCATGTTATTGCGCAGCACAAAGGCTGAATGGATGAAGCAGGAGTTAAAGTGTGGATGGAAAAAATGTGGCCTTCTACAAAAAAATGCATTGCTAGTATTGGATCAGTTCAGTGCAAACAGGACAGACAACACTAAAAAAACTAGCAAGAGAAATGAACACAACATTAGCTGTAATTCCTGGTGCAGCCACTAGATGTGAGCATCAACAAACCATTCAAGAATAACGAGTGAAGAATGGTCTAAATAGATAGCAGAGGCAAGATATGAAATGACACCATGTGAAAGGATGAATGTTGTTGAAATCTTGGAATGCTATTAATACTAAAATTGTTGTAAAATCTTTCAAAAAGTGTAATATAAGTAATAACATGGATGGTAGTGAGGATCATTTATTGTACATGACTGACAGTAGTGATGATAGTTTAGAGCTTTTACATGAATCCAACATTGACAAGTTCTTGGGATTTGAGGATGAATAAAATTTCTTTGATTGTTTCATATTTTTACATGCATATTTTTAAAATTTATAGTTCATTTTTATGAAAATAAAACCACCCTTGGACAATGAAAGATGTATAGAAAATTTACTAACCACCAACTAGTATGTCATTGCCATACAAACAAAATCAGCTGAATGATTAATGTAAACAATACATGGCACCAGTAATATGCATGGTGAATGTGTTGTTGTATGAGAATGACTTTTTTCTTTTTTTTTTTTTTTAAGACATTTCTTTCCAATATTAGGGTGCATCTTCCAAGCTGGAAAATATGGTAAATAGCAGGATAAATTGGCCTTCCTAACCTTGGGTGGTAACCACTCTGAGAGAAGGAGAGCTCTGAATTCAAAATGATAGAGAAGGCAATGGGAAACCACTTCGCTATTTTTCCTAAGTCATGACAATTCACAGATAATAAAGAAAAGGTATTTGTGAAGAGTTATGATTGTGAAGCAACATGGTATTTAAGAATGGGTTAAATAGCAGAGTAGATGGGTAACCACTTGAAGAGAAGGGAAACTGAATGGTAGAGAAGGCAACAGTAAGCCACTCTAGTACTTTTCCAAGGAAGTCATGTCAATTCATAAATAATAAAGAAATGGAATCTGTGATAAACCCTGACCACATTAAAAAAATTTTAAAATGTATACTTTTTTTACTGCCTTTTTTATTTTTTAAACTAAAGTAAATAGTTAAAACTTTGAAATGTAAATGGTGTGCAATAATTCCTAAAATCATTGATATGATAGTAAAATCATCTACAAGGCGTTGGTTCCATTTGTCCCTTCCCCCTCTTAGCAAAGACTACACATTGCACAAAACTAGGATCAACTGAGTAAGAATCTATTTTACATACCTATAAGTCTACCATTCACCCATGCTTAGAACATTGCTGCCACATATGATCCAGTGCTCTTACTACTTACCTTAAGCTCCTTGATAAAATTCAAAGAAAAATCATTATTATCAATATTATTGGTCCTGATCTGGCAGCTTTGCTTCAGACACTTTTCCCATCACCGTGAAGTTACCTCTCTGTCTTTTCTATAAATACTTTCATGGTAATTGTTTGGATAAGCTCATCGCTATGGTACCTAGCGTTTTTTAATTTAAGTGCAGTACTAGACTAGCATTGAGATCTCATCAATTCACAGTTGAGCTGGCTAGATGTAACTGTAAATTCTATGCTAACAGTTTTTCTCACACTTCACGCTTGTGAAACTCTCTCCCAGCTCCAAGCTTTCCAGCCAACTTTAATCTGCAAAAATTGAAATGCAATGTCAATCGCTATCTATTGTCCTCTTGATTACTCTTTCCACTTCCTGCTCATTATTAATGTTTTTATTCCTAATTCTTCCACACTCTGTAATCCCTTGTGTCTTAGTGGCATTACTGTCTCGCATGGGGTGATACTGATTTGAAAAAAAAAAATATATATATATATATACTGAATCCAGACTGTCAATAATTCTGTTCAGTTATACTATGCAGTTTTTCTTGTATTTCCTAACCTTTATTTTTTTCAATTTCTCTCTATAGCCAAAACCAAGCAAAGAAGATCAGGAACAGGAGGATCTTCGGCGACAACTGGAGGAGATGAAGCGTCAAGCAGAAGTCTTTAAACAACAATTATTGCAAAAAGAGCAAGAGGCAGAAGTATATAAAAAACAATTAAGTGAAATGGTTACAGCTAAGGGGGATATGAACTTAAATAACAACAGTAATCTCAACATAGGCAGCATTGAGACAGACAACAACGAAGAGGTGACCATCACTGATGCATTACATGCAAATGATATTGTCACAGAGACTGTTACTGTCACTGAAGAAGTTTTAGATGTCAACGATGTTTCTACTGAAAAATAAGTCCAGTCGGGGGGGGAAAAAGTAATGTAATCAAAATGGAGAAAATGAAGATGTTTTTGTAAATATAAAAATGAAACAAATAAAATGAAATCCTAAAACGACATAAAAGAAAAACACAAAAGACTTTTAAAAGAAGCCATCTTCAAAAACATTCAAGCCTTATTTTCTCATGCAGCTTTCGGAAAGACCACTGTCCTAAATATCATCCTAATCACTAAATTCTGATCACATGGATGAGTCATGAAGTAAATCAAGGAAGTGGACTGTCCAATTTGTCTCTCTTGGATTTTAAATGTATAGCAATGTGGATATTACAGGTGTTCAAATCTGTTGAAATTAACCCTGGACTTGTGGAAGTTGACTCCCAAGAGTGAGACATCGATACATGAAACCTTTCCAGTTTTATTATCTTACAATTGAGGTGGTTATTGGTGACAATTGATCAATGGTTTGATCTTCAAGCTGAGTCAGTCCCAACTGTGTGAGTTGACATTAAAAAAAAAAAAAAAATGTACAAACATGGAAATTATGTTCACTTATGTCAACCATAACAAATTTTTTTAAAAATTGCAATTGATTTTTTTTTTTTTTTTTTATACGAAAAACTATAATGTCAGGTGATTAGCAATGATTTAAAAACAAAAATTAGAGCATTTATGTTTGCCACACCTATCATTGTCAGCTTTTCACATTCCTTATATATATATATATATATATATATATATATATATATATATAAAAACAGGAAAAGATATACAATATAAGTAGAAAAAATATATCACATGTAATTACTTCATATAATATCCCTAGGAATTTTCAGTATCACTTGAGGCAATATAAAAATCTTTATTAGCCAACATCAACTTTAATTCCAGTCGCATATCATCTGGTTCATACTCCTCCCCGGCCCTTTAAACAGGAGTAGAGACTCATCACTTGTTTCCTGTTTAGGACTGGGTTTCCAGTTCCTTCTAAAAAAAATTTTTTATTATGTTTTGTTTTCCCAATAACTACAATCATGACCTCTTCAAGTTTAGAGTTAACCATAGTCTCAAAAACTTCACTTCTTTCCCTTTCTTACACTCATTCAATACCACACAGTAACCCTCTACCTTGAGTGGCTCTTTAGCCTTGGATTAGGTGAACATTAGTAAAAAATAAATAGTCATTTGCAATAATTTTAACAGAAGGAATGCTTGCAATTTTTTCTTCTTTTTTTTTGCTATTCATTTCTTAATTCTGCAAGTAAGGCTTTTTGTATAGATCATCTTTTATAATATTGAAAAGCCAAAACTGCTCAAACAAAATAGAAAACCATAGATGATGATCACACACATAAACATTATGTAAATTTTACATATTTCACTCTTATATCAAATGATCAAAATTTGTCTAAAATGGATCTCTAAATGTACATAAATATAATTATCAGCAATAAGATGCAGCAACATGTCATACATATGTGCATGTCAATACACACGCGCACTATATATATATATATATATATATATATATATTTTTTTTTTTTTTTTTTTGGCAACAATAAATCTCTCAAACATGTTTGGTTAAATAATATGGACAAGTTCTGTCTATCAATTTTTTTTAATTTTTCAAATTTCTAAATTAGGTTTTTAGTGTTATCGGTAAATTTGCCAAAGTTCATGTTTGTTTTTTTTTTTTTTTTTTTTTTTTTTTTTTTTTCCAGAGTACATTCATTTTCAAAACACAAAATTTCAGTTTGACTCTTTATAAAACGGCACTTTGCAGTGATTTGAAATTGGTTCCATCCAATATGAAAAACATCACTATTAAAAAACAGTTGCACAAATATACAGAAAGCAATCCTTGAAGATGAATGTAACAACATTCAAAACTCGGGAAAATAATATAAAATAAAAATAAATGTGAACTTTGGAAAACTTACCAATAACATAAAACTTGGAAATTTGAAAACTTAAAAAAAAAAAAATGACAGACATTTCTAAATTAATAAATTTTTAATCTGATATAATTTTATTACTTCAAACATTTTTAGTGGATGCCCATATTTGAGTAGAACATCCCAGTTTTTTTTTTTTAACTGTTTATTTTGTCTACCTGCCTGCACATTTGAGAAAACTTGAGAAAATATGCTATCAGGCAGGATTTGAACCTGCATTTCATTTTCTACATAGAGCCTTACAGTAAAGCAAGATTCTATTTGTAAGAGGGCACATTTTCTTGAATTTTTCTCAGATGTGCAGGTCAGTAGATGATGAAAAAAAAAACTGTTTCAAAAACAAAGTATTCTACTCAAATACAGGTATCCAATAAAAATATATAGTACTCTCTGATATTCAGCACTCTTCTCTCATAAATATAGCCAACTTTAAGCAGTATGTGATCAGAGAGAGCATTTGTAAATATAGACAGTGTGGACAAGGTCTAAAGCTCACTTGAAATGTGAAACTGACAGTCATTGTGCAGTGCAGATTGCTAAGCACACACACACAGTTCCAAAATTAATAAGTTGCATCTATATACATATATGTGTTTTTTTTTTTATATATATATATATATATATATATATATATATATAATGTCAGATTAAAAATAAATTCATTAGAAATTGCTTTGTTTATATTTCAAGTATAAGACTGAGTAGATATGGGCTTTCAAAAAAATAATCATAGTGAAGGGATGTGCTTTGCTTACACACACACAGTTTCAATATTAGTGATAAGATGCAATAATATATATATTTCGACTCTCCCATCAGATTCAACATAATGATGGTCAAGCAGATCAGTTCCTAGGAACCGACAACCCGACACCAGTACGTGAGATCTGATTATAGTGGTGAAGGTTTTCTGCAGAACCATCCACACTTTGAAGGGCCGAATACAGAGACCTGGTACCACAAAGTCCCCCAAATGACACTCTGCAGGTTTTGAATTCAGAGTTGTCCTTCTCCTAGACCAGTTGACATCCAAGGCTATAGAACCCAGTCTGTCCTGCTATTTACCCATAGCTGAAGAGAGAAGGGTATTAGCATGTGATTGATTGTAACAAATTTGACTGGAATTCGAACTCAGCTCTCTGATTCCTCAATCCAAGCTGCTATCCATTACTCCACTGTGCCTCCTTATATATATATATATTTTTCAAGCATGTTTCATTAAATAATATAGACATGTCTTTTTATAATAATCCTTTCTAGTTCTCTAATTATCTTGTTAAGTTGAAATTCATCAAGGAAGGTGCCATATTTTTTGTTAGCCCAAGCACTTTTGATCTGCTCCAAGATCATCCTCAGGGGTGAATTGCAAAGACAAACTTAATGTTACTGTAATTGCTTTGTTGGTAATTTTTGTAAACACATTGTTATAATTATTTTAAAATTAACCGTTGTGGTTACAGTGTTTTGTAAACAAGCATTGACAATGCAAGAAGGGGTAACCAGATATGGTAAAATGCAACATGGTGTTAAAAATTAGTCAACTCAAATGCAATTCAAAACATTGCTACAACACTGGCAATAAATTTTGTCCAGTGTTGGTTGGTTGTCTTAGAGAGCCTCTAAAACCTGATGTCTCTGTCCATTTCCCTCATGGTGTAGTATACTGGCGTTGTCAACAAGTATTTTCATGTATTGTGAAGGTGGACAGGAATGTGTCCCCACATGCTGTGCGATAGAACCTGCATCTGACAAATGATAATTAGAGAACTAGAAAGGATTATCATAAAAAATTTCTATATTATTTAACAAAACATGCTTGGAAAAAAAAAAAAATATATATATATATATATATATATAAGATTAAAAATAAATCCATTAATTCTTTACAAATTGCTTTTTTAAAATTTTGGATACAAGACTGAGCAGATATGGGCTTCAAGAAAAATAATTTTAATGAAGGGGATGTACTTTCCTTAAAAAGAAAATAGCCTTGCTTACATACATACACACACATAAACACAAGGATAGCTAGATGATTAGTTACTATCCTATTTTCTATAGATAGTCAACATAATTGCAGCAGTTGTACAAACAGGAATCTTATAAATCACAGAAGATTTTCTCTCATATTTGCAGTTAGTCCATATGCACAAATTTAAGGTGCTGTTTGGGGGTCATGTAACAAATGTAATTTTAAGATGCAAGATAAAAAAAAAACTGGCATCAGAATGAGATTTATTTTCTATCATACACGATCTCATACTTTTAAAATCAACATAATTTCTAGGTATTCCTATTCGCTATCAACAGTCCAATAAAGTATGATTCATCCTTAAATTTTCAGAAAATTGTTCTAGAAGGCAGCAATTTTGGGAGGTTTAAAGTATTTTTAGCAGTGATAGTCCATCTTGGTTGTAATTTGTAAGTTTAATATATAAACTCTACAAGTCTTACTGGTAATATACTGAATCTAACAAATTATCAAGATATATTTTTGTCCCCACTGGCTAATAACACTGCAAAATCAAAATCATATCCCTTTAAGAATTTCAATTAATCTGTTTTACTGAATATATTGCTTGTAGATTTGTTTTAGGTTCAAAGTAAATTGAAAATGTTGAATAGAACTATTTGAAGATAATAGTCTAGTTTAAATAGAAAAATTAATCATGGTTAAGGAAAATAATTTTGAGTTTTTATGTGTTGTGTAATGCTATGAAAGAAATGTGAAATGGCCTAATGAATTGGACATTAAAACATGATACATTTTAGCATTTTCCTTTACTGCTGGTCTCATTTTGTGTTAATATTTTAGGAAAGGCATGAATCCAAATTTCCCTGCAGTTTTCCCACCTACTAGTCACAAATAGTCTGGTTGCTGGCATAGAAGCAATATATAAGGGAGATCCTCTACAAGTTTCCTAGAATTCAATTCTATTTAATAACATCAATCATTAACCTTTATCACTCTATATGTTTACATTTCTTCATTTGCTTTACAAAAAATTTATCCTGCCACGGAAGGGGATTTTGATCCTTGAATTTGAATTTGAATTTGTTT